CCCCGCCCCGCGCGCGCGCGCCCCGGCGGCGCCTCAGGCCGCCTCTTCCCCGCCTCCCCGCCCGTCGCTGACACAGGCGCTCCACTCACAGCTCGGGAGGCGCACGCCCGCCCTCACCTGCTCCTCGCTCACAGCGCCTGCCCGGCCGCCTCCCGCCAGGGCTACAGTCGCAGAGATTAAAGCGCCAGCCGCGGCCGGTGACGCCTGCCCCGCTTCGACGCCTGCGGGGCTCCCCGGGGCGCGACCCGCGTGCGCATGCTCAGCAGCGGCTTCCGGCTCGGGCGACGCCAGTTTGCCATCAACACGGCGCTGCGCCGCAATCCTTTCCGTTACGGCGCCAAGATGGCGGCGCCCACACTGACACTGAGGTGCGGGCGGCCATGTTGAAGTGATGCAGGCGCGCCGGGCTGAACTACCTTAAAACAAAGAAGCAGGCGGATAGATAGATGTCCTCTCGGATTGAGGCTGTACCCAACCAGAACTCTTGTCCCTGCTTCGATGCATTCAGCAACACTGACAACAAGAAATAACGTTTGAAGAGCACTTCATCCCAAAACAGCAGAATAGTCTATGCAAGCGTACATGGAGAATGTACCTATATATCTCATAACATGGGCCATAAAACAAAGATTTTGATATTCAGAGTGAAGCCCCCTTCTCTTCCTTAGCGCGGAACGTCATGGCACTAGTTTCTTACCATCACAATAATCTCTGTAACTATGGCTTGCTATTCTTAAAAAGCTATCATGGGCATGCTTGTGACCTCAGCTGAATGAGAGGCTGAAAAGGGAGGATGGCACTTTGAGACCAGCCTGAGCAGGTTAGTGAGATTCTGCATTAAAATTTTTTTAAAAGACCATTAAAAAAAAAAAAAATGACTGGGGGACCGGTGAGATGGCTCAGTGGAATAAGCACTTGCCTGGCAAGTGCAAGGGCCTGAGTTCAATCCCCGGTTCCATTAAAAAAAAAAAAAAAAAAAAAAAAAAAAATTTAAAAAGCTGATAATTAAAATAAGATGACTGAGGATGTGGCTCAACGGTACAGCACTTTCAAGACCTTGGGTTCAATTCCCAAGACCACCAGGAACAAAACGGGTCATGACTTTTTTCAAATTTAGCACAGCTCAGTAAAGTAAGATTGAAACAAAAGAATAAAGTAGAAGGAGTCATTCTACCCAGTTTTTAGACCTATTATTTAGCTACGGAATCAAAACTGTGGTATTGACAGAGAGATAGACAGGTCAAAGGAACAGAATGTAGAAATGGCTCAAGAATAGAACTATACAAGTAAACCCAACTTACTTTTTTTTTAGTACATATCTTTTTTTTTATTTTTT